ACTACAGAATGCTGTCAGTCATCACTACAGAATGCTGTCAGTCATCACTACAGAATGCTGTCAGTCATCACTACAGGATGCTGTCAGTCATCACTACAGGATGCTGTCAGTCATCACTACAGGATGCTGTCAGTCATCACTACAGGATACTGTCAGTCATCACTACAGGATGCTGTCAGTCATCACTACAGGATACTGTCAGTCTCACTACAGGATGCTGTCAGTCATCACTACAGGATGCTGTCAGTCATCACTTCAGGATGCTGTCAGTCATCACTACAGGATGCTGTCAGCCCATCATTACAGGATTGCTGTCAGTCATCACTACAGGATACTGTCAGTCATCACTACAGGATGCTGTCAGTCATCACTACAGGATACTGTCCAGTCATCACTACAGGATGCTGTCAGTCATCACTACAGGATGCTGTAAAGTCATCACTACAGGATGCTGTCAGTCATCACTACAGGATGCTGTCAGTCATCACTACAGGATGCTGTCAGTCATCACTACAGGATACTGTCAGTCATCACTACAGGATGCTGTCAGTCATCACTACAGGATACTGTCAGTCATCACTACAGGATGCTGTCAGTCATCACTACAGGATACTGTCAGTCATCACTACAGGATACTGTCAGTCATCACTACAGGATGCTGTCAGTCATCACTACAGGATGCTGTCAGTCATCACAAACAGGATACTGTCAGTCATCACTACAGGATGCTGTCAGTCATCACTACAGGATGCTGTCAGTCATCACTACAGGATGCTGTCAGTCTTTCACTATCAGGATACTGTCAGTCATCACTACAGGATGCTGTCAGTCATCACTACAGGATGCTCAGTCATCACTACAGGATACTGTCAGTCATCACTACAGGATACTGTCAGTCATCACTACAGGAGGCTGTCAGTCATAACTACAGGATACTGTCAGTCATCACTACAGGATGCTGTCAGTCATCACTACAGGATACTGTCAGTCATCACTACAGGATGCTGTCAGTCATCACTACAGGATACTGTCAGTCATCACTACAGGATGCTGTCAGTCATCACTACAGGATACTGTCAGTCATCACTACAGGATGCTGTCAGTCATCACTTGCATCACTGGAGTAACCAAAGCACTTCTAGTTTCCTTCACTATTAGCCTCACTACATTACTATTAAAGAACCTTGAAGTAATATACTGTAGTTAAGACCTTGAAGTAATAAAATATATTTAAGACCTTGAAGTAACATAATATATTTAAGACCCTGAAGTATATAATATATTTAAGACACTGAAGGTGTGAAATCCTTGAGTGTGTCTAACTATAAGTGTATAGTCTAAGGTGAAGTAACTCAGAGACTTACTATAACAGTACTAAATATCTTCTGCTCTTCGAGGGTAAGAAATACTGAAGGAGTGAACTCCTTCAGTGTGACTATATTATAAGTGTATAGTCTAAGGTGAAGTACCTCAGAGACTTACTATAAGAGTACTAAATATCTTCTGCTCTTCGAGGGTAAGAAACCGTCCTCCAAAGATATAATCTTTAGTTGAAGACTAAGTGAAAGTCCAGAAGAACATCTGAAACACAAAATCGCCACTGGAAGACTCAATATGAAGAAATACTAGGAGAACATGTTTGTTGGTCCTTGAATGTGAAAGAAACTACGAGCAGAGAAAGCTTTGAAAGCTTCTTGAAGGAAAATATCTTATTTCCAAAGATCGAAGATTTTGTTTTCCGGGGGAATTAAACTCAAGTACATGCAAAATACGAAGTAGAGGAAGGACTACGACTTGCTAATTCTATGGACTTGGGAAACACTTAAGCACTTCTGGCATAGGCATTCAAGAGAATGAGTGCCAGGTATTTAAATTTGAGTATGCCCATCAAGGATGAGATGGATTGATGCTTCTGGTAAAACTATTTATGAACGTAGTGTTAAGAGAAAAAAGACCTATTGGAAAGGGTGAAATTTGCGATAAAAAACAAAAACTAGTAGACAGCAAAAAGAAGGAACAGGAAAAACCTAAAAGAGAAGTAAAAAGAATGGAGAAAAGGGAAGGTGAGGAAGATTCAAGCAGTGACAAGGAACTGCACTTCCACAACTGAACCAAGAAGTACAGACTGATGAGGAATCTAACAAGGTCACAAGTCAGAAAACTACTACTGACAATGATTTCTTATAAGTTAATTACATAAACAACTTTATAGTTTCTACTGGAGCAGCAGCTGAGTCAGAAGAACAGCGAGAACAGGAGACCTTCATTCAGGGGCTTCTCTTCCCTGACAAACCACCAAAAGAACAGCAAGAAGAGGAGACCTTCATTCAGGAGCTTCTCTTCCCTGACAAACCACCAAAAGAACAGCAAGAACAGGAGACCTTCATTGAGGAGCTTCTCTTCCCTGACAAACCACCAAAAGAACAGCAAGAACTGGAGACCTTCATTGAGGAGTTCTCTTCCCTGACAAACCAAACAAATCCTGGTAGGAGAAACAACTCCACCTGTCAACTTGACACAAAGCCAGAGTCTGTAACAGGAAACCCAAGATTATGATTTCGACCTGGATGCTCTCTTTCATTGAATCAATCCTTCTGGGCCACTATCACTCGTAGTAACCAAGCAAGAACTACATCCACTGAAGAAGACCACAAAAAATATATGAGGATATTTTCAAAATTGAAAATTTTATTTTTAAAAATTTTTAAGAAGATATTATTATTTTTTAAATGAAAGGACTGATTTTAGTTGAGGTGATAGTATAATAATTATATAATGGAGTCTGTTTGTGTGAATAGTCCAGGTTAAGGACTTTAAAAATAATAATGACAATATTGGTACGGTGAGGCATAGTAGTGATGAGGACAATGATACGAGGGTAGTGATAAGGATAGTGATGAAGATAGTGATGAGGTTGATGACCAGGATAGTGATGAAGGTAGTGATAAGTGTAGTGATGAATATAGTGATGAGGGTAGTGATGATAGTGATGAAGATAGTGATGAGGGTAATGACCAGGGTAGTGATGAGGATAGTGATGAAGGTAGTGATGAATATAGTGATGAAGGTAGTGATAAGGGTAGTGGTGAGGATAGTGATGAGGGTAATGAGGATAGTGATGTATGGTGACATGTATGGTAGTGTTGGATGGTGACATGTATGGTAGTGTAGTATGGTGACATGTATGGTAGTGTTGTATGGTGACATGTATGATAGTGATGTATGGTAGTGTTGTATGGTAGTGTAGTAGTGATCATTAGTGATGTGTTGTGTACTAATGTGTAGTGTTGTGTACTGATGTGTAGTGGGAACCTGGGTGTCAATCACCTGGTGTGGGTTGCATTCTGGGTGTTAGTGGACTGGTGTGGGTTGCATTCTGGGTGTTAGTGGACTGGTGTGGGTCACATCCAGGATGTTAGTGTACTGGTGTGGGTCGCATCCTGGGTGTTAGTGGACTGGTGTGGGTTGCATCCTGGGGGTTAGTGGACTAGTGTGCATCACATCCTGGGTGTTAGGTGACTGGTGTGGGTCACATCCTGGGTATTAGTGGACTGGTGTGGGTCACATCCTGGGTGTTAGTGGACTGGTGTGGGTGGCATCCTGGGTGTTAGTGGATTGGTGTGGGTGGCATCCTGGGTGTTAGTGGACTGGTGTGGGTCACATCCTGGGTGTTAGTGGACTGGTGTGGGTCACATCCTGGGTGTTAGTGGACTGGTGTGGGTCACATCCTGGGTGTTAGTGGACTGGTGTGCATCACATCCTGGGTGTTAGTGGACTGGTGTGAGTCACATCCTGGGTGTTAGTGGACTGGTGTGGGTTGCATCCTGGGACAAAAGTGACCTAATTTGCAGGAAATGCTCTGCATAACAAGGGACTTTCTATACAGTAGCATGTCATTGATGTCAACTATGGTCTGTATAAGTTGCATCGTGTACTGGCAGTAATAAAGATATTATTATTATTATTATTACTTTATCTTCCAACCTTGCCGACGGCTTCACCTTCGACACAGACTTCCTCTTTTTTTTTTTTTTTTTTTTTATTTATTAATTTGAACATGATACAGAGAAGTACACAGAATACAATTTTTAAAGTGCAACATGCCAAAGCCCCTTGTATGCAGCACATTATGGGCAGGCTTAAAATTAACTTAAGATTAACTAAGCAATGATATATTCAGTGGTACAAAAATGATTGTAAAACAGATAACAATTTAGTACAAATGAGTATTACAAAGACAGGTCACATGGTCATTTACTGTGTTGCTGTGTAATCAGTAGAATGGGTTATCTGTGTATCTTGTCATCCTATACCATAAGTGTCCAGAAACCAGTTTAACCTGTGTAGAGATGGCAGATCAACTCATACAGTAGTATGATGATAGTTGTGATACCTCCATGGTATACACATAAATATGTAACACAACTTCCTAGTATGTTACGTGTTTATGTGATGTGGAAGATACATCTGTGTCCTTCATTATTACCCCTTATATTGCAAGACATTGCAATGTATGATACCATAAGGGGGTCGAAATATACAGATCAATTAATCTCTTGAGTTTCTGTCTCTCTGTGAGTTATTACTGAACATATCTGAATAAATTCACTTAGTACAGTATGCCCTTATTCAAATCCCAAATCTACCTTAAGGCCAATATCATATCTTTTATGGTTAAATATGTACATGAATTATGAATATAATCGATTTTGAAGATAAAATTGGTGCTTAGATCTGAATAAAAAATTTATTCAGTATTATCTAAGAGAGCTGTATAAAGCAGTATATTAAAAAAAAAAAAACAGTTTCTGTAGTAACTTTTGAAGTGTTCATGACTCACAAAATCGTAACAATATGATAGCAAACAAACCACAGAATGGCTCAGTGACTTACACACTGTCCTAGAGTTTTGTAACTCACTCGCCATGGGTTCAAACCTCATCCATACTGTGGTTGAATTTCAGGTTATTAAATTATGACTATGTAATTGCAAACTTTACCCGAGGACTGCAGATGCAGTACGACCAGATGTAGCGGTGATCCTTGACGCATGAGGAACACGTGCGACTGCTGGCCTTCAGGGGTCTCAAAGAGTGTAACAGTGAAGCCTAGTTGAGCAAGTCGTGAGAGGAACATTGGCTGCAATAAAGCAAAAAACTTTATAGAGTACTGTACAGTATACAATTAGGGTAAACATATATAAATTACTTTATAGAAATCCCATTGTTATGCAAAGTATTTTGGGCAACCTTAAAACTAATTTATAATTACTAGACAATGAAACATATAATCCATGAGAAAAAATACTTAGTGGATATTATATTGAAAGTACAGTGGACCCCCGGTTAACGATATTTTTTCATTCCAGAAGTATGTTCAGGTGCCAGTACTGACTGAATTTGTTCCCGATAAGGAATATTGTGAAGTAGATTAGTCCATTTCAGACCCCCAAACATACACGTACAAACGCACTTACATAAATACACTTACATAATTGGTCGCATTGGGAGGTGATCGTTATGCGGGGGTCCACTGTATTGAGTAATTCCATAAAAAATTCTAATTAGAGATATACGTATATTTAATTCTGGACACTATTTAAATCATGATTTAAAAAATCACACTATATGGAGGATCCTTATAAGAGAAGTTACTGTAATATATACTACAAAAATAATCACGAAAAACTAAATACTGTAGATGGGACGTGAAAACATACCCCTTTTCTACATCTACAAATCGGTAAATTTGTAAAAAACAAAATTAGGTACGGAAATCACACACAAGAACAAAATTTGTTTGCAAATGTAGATTACGTCTTGCCCAGAACACTGAACATAATATAGCATTGTTAAATGCTATATGTATATTATGCCTGTTTTCTCCTTATCTGTGCAATTATTTTTTGCATCTCTGGAGGAGGGTTCCCTGATGTTAGTCAGGGGCTCTTAATCCAAGGAATTGGACCTGTTATACCACATCTTGAACTGAGCTGATGCATTCCCCCACATGCTGTACTCACCTAATTGTGGCTGCAGGGGTCAATTCATAGCTCCTGGCCCCGCCTCTTCACTGGTCACAACTAGACGTTACTATTACCCTTATGGGTTTAGTGCTTTCCCTTACATATAATAATAAATATTTTCACAAATATTTTGTTTCAATTCTCTCCATATGACAAAAGTCGTCTACATTAGTACCTTGTCCCTTAGTTGGGCAGCAGTGACAGCAAAAGTGAGCGGACCAATAACGTGGCACAGGAAGATACACGCACCAGGGGCAGCCACATGCGAATTAGTGCTCCACGCATGAAGGATTACAGGATCGTATAGGATGGTGGTGACGGCAGCGTCTTCGCCAGCACGCAACAGCTGTCGAACATCGTCAACGTGCAGCGAGCGCTGAAAGTTGGTGTTGGGCGTCGACAGCCAGATATGAAGGTAGATTTGGTCTAACAGAATAAGACCGACCACAATGCCAACGCCCAAAAACACTTTCTTCCTCAAATTTCTAATTCCCAACATACTGGAAATCTGCAATACAAAAATTGATAATGCATATATTGAATTTTTTTTTAACACACTGGCCGTTTCCCTCCGAGGCAGCGTGACCCAGAAAAGAAGAAACACTTTCATCATCACTCAATCACTGTCTTGCCAGAGGCGTGCTAGCACTACAGTGTCAGAGTACAGGCACTGTATTTCCCACCTCCAGGGCTCAAGTCTAGCTAACCAGATTTCCCTGAATCCCTTCACTAATGTTACTTTACTCAATATACTGCACAAAACACATAAAAAAAAACAGTTTTGTGTATTACATTTTATTAAAACATATGTGATAAATCACAGAAAAACAAATTTACACATAAAGTATAAATGAGGCCTGGTCTCAGACTGAGCCTCGGGGGCGTTGATTCCCGAAACCCTCTCCAGGTAAATGTATAAGAGGCTTGTGTGAGTGTATTAGGAGTGAAGGGAGACAAGTGATTTTTAATGGATGTGTTGCTGGAGTGTCGAGTCATGTAATTTGAAGACAAGATTTTATTTGGATTTTTAACCCTAGAGGGTTAGCCACCCAGGATAACCCAGGGGAGGTTTAGCCACCTATGATAACCCAGGGGAGGTTTAGCCACCCAGGATAACCCAGGGGAGGGTTAGCCACCCAGGATAACCCAGGGGAGGGTTAGCCACCCAGGATAACCCAGGGGAGAGTTAGCCACCCAGAATAACCCTGTGGCCTGGCTAGCAAAGCTCTCGCTTCATATGCGGAGGGCCTACGTTCGATTCCCGGCGGGGTGGAAACATTTCGAAGCGTTTCCTTACACCTATTGTCCTGTTCAGCTAGCAGCAAGTAGGTACTTGGGTGTTAGTCGACTGGTGTGGGTTGCATCCTGGGGGACCAAGATTGAGGACCACAATGGAAATAAGACAGAGTCCTCGATGACGCACTGACTTTCTTGAGTTATCCTGGATGGCTAACCCTTCGAGGTTAAAAACCCAAGCGAAATCTTATCATAAAGTCAGTGCATAATTGTGTTCCTCAATCTTGTCCCCAGGATGCAACCCATACCAATCACCTAACACCAAGGTACCTATTGTATTGATAGGTGAACATGGACTGCAGGTATATTAAGGAAACATATCCTAATGTTTCCACCCGCCGGGAATCGAACCCGGGCCCTCCGTGTGTGAAGCGGGAGCTTTAGCCACCAGGTCACCGGGGCATAGATCAATTATGGATACCCATAGGTGCTGTCAGTGTCACCTAGCAGTAAGTAGGTACCTCATAACACACTGGCTTTATTGGGTTATCCTGGCTGGATAACCCTCCTTACCCGAGTTATACCAGCTGGATAACCCTCCTTACCCGGGTTATACCAGCTGGATAACCCTCCTTACCCGGGTTATACCAGCTGGATAACCCTCCTTACCCGGGTTATACCAGCTGGATAACCCTCCTTACCCGGGTTATACCAGCTGGATAACCCTCCTTACCCAGGTTATACTAGCTGGATAACCCTCCTTACCCGGGTTATACCAGCTGGATAACCCTCCTTACCCGGGTTATACCAGCTAGATAACCCTGATTACCAGGGTTATCCAGCTGGATAACTCTCCATGTTATAAATCCCCACAAAATCTTATCCTATCTTACTTGATGTCAGTGTATAACTGTGTAATGTTGAAGTACAGTCCCTGGACCCATTATGTACCTCTGTAATGTTGAGGTACAGTCCCTGGACCCATTATGTACCTCTGTAATGTTGAGGTAGTCCCTGGACCCATTATGTACCTCTGTAATGTTGAGGTACAGTTCCTGGTCCCATTATGTACCTCTGTAATGTTGAGGTACAGTCCCTGGACCCATTATGTACCTCTGTAATGTTGAGGTACAGTCCCTGGACCCATTATGTACCTCTGTAATGTTGAAGTACAGTCCCTGGACCCATTATGTACCTCTGTAATGTTGAAGTACAGGCCCTGGACCCATTATGTACCTCTGTAATGTTGAGGTACAGTCCCTGGACCCATTATGTACCTCTGTAATGTTGAGGTACAGTCCCTGGACCCATTATGTACCTCTGTAATGTTGAGGTACAGTCCCTGGACCCATTATGTACCTCTGTAATGTTGAGATACAGTCCCTGGACCCATTATGTACCTCTGTAATGTTGAGATACAGTCCCTGGACCCATGGACTCCTTGAATCACTAAAGACACCCTTCTCCTGCATTATTCTTACTGAGACCTGGCTTAAGCAGGACACAATAGATATCTACCCTCTACCAGGATACACAGCAATTCACAACTGCAGACCAAACCAAGTTGGGGGTGGTATTGCAATCTATTACTCTAACCAATTATCTTGTCTTAGCACCACTTGCTTTAGTGATGAATATGGGGAATACATTTTTGCTAATTTTACTGTAAAAAACCTTAAGACACCTATAACAATCGGTGCCATTTACCGGATACCTCACACAAACATCCCAAATTTCAGTGAGAAATTAAAGTCACTAATAACAAACAGACAAATGAATAAGCACCACCTTCTCTTAGCTGGAGACTTCAACATCAACCTTGGCTTACTAGATGATCAGCCTGTAACTGATTTCATCAACAATATGAACAACACACTTCTCATACCAACAATAACTAAACCAACAAGGCTCACTGAGACAAGTGCAACCATAATAGACCACATATGGACCAATATACTAGCCCCCCTTAAATCAGGGATAATCACAGATAGCACTACAGACCACTATCCTACCTTCCTCCTGACAAACATTAGTAAACCACCACTTGAATACAACAAAGTCTCATTTAGACTCCATGACGAGGCCTCAGTAAGGAAGTTCACAGCTGACCTAGAGACTGTTGACTGGCCTACAGAATTCTCCAAGGCCAATGGTATTGATGACTGGACAGACATTTTTCTTAACAAATTACTTAGACTATACAACAAACATTGTCCTATAAAAACGAAACAGATCACAAACAAACGGCTTGGTTGCCCATGGCTAACCAGCACCATTCTGAAATCCATTGACAAGAAACACCAATATGAAAAGCAATATAGACAGGGCTTAATACACAAAGATATTCTTAAACACTATTCATCAGCTCTCACCAAAGTAATAAAGAAAGCCAAACAACTATACTACTCCAGTAGATTCACAGACACTAGAGGAGATATAAAAAAGACCTGGAAAACACTCTCTCAGATTCTAGGGACCCACAAACTGAAAAAAACCAAGAATATTGTCCTAACTAAACCTAATGAAACACCACTACATCCCACTGACACAGCTAACAAGATAAACGACTTCTTCTCAACCATAGGATCTAATCTCGCCAGTAAAATCCCACATACCAATGCCCATGCTGGGGACTACCTAGATGGGAATTTCCCTAATTCCTTCTATCTTGCACCAACTGAGCCCACCGAAGTCACCGAGATTATAAAGTCACTTAAAAATAACTCGGGGAATCTGTCTCATGTCCCACCATTACTGTACAAGCGAGCGGCCCATGTCCTTTCGCATGCTATTTCATTACTTTTTAACAAGTCACTAGAAACTAGCACCTTCCCAAAACTACTCAAGATGGCAAGGGTTACACCAATACATAAAGGTGGTGACCCTACATTATTATTATAATCAAGGGGGAAGCGCTAAACCCGGAGGATTATACAGCACCTGGGGGGGATGTGGAAGGCATTCAGGCTTAATTCGGGGAGCACAGATCCAATTCCCTGAATCAAGAGCCCCTCACCAACATCAAGGAACCTTCCTTGAGGGTGGTGACCCTACAGCCTTAAACAACTACAGTGGACCCCCGCATAGCGATTTTAATCCGTGCAAGAGGGCTCATTGTTATGCGAAATGATCGGTATGCGAATGAATTTTCCCCATAAGAAATAATGGAAATCAAATTAATCCGTGCAAGACACCCAAAAGTATGAAAAAAAAAAAAAAATTACCACATGAAATGTTAATTTTAATACACACAAACTGAAAAAGGCATGCACAATTACATGACACTTACTTTTATTGAAGATCTGGTGATGATTGATGGGATGGGAGGAGGAGAGAGAGAGTGTTAGTGTTTAGAAGGGGAATCCCCTTCCATTAAGACTTGAGGTGTCGAGTCCTTTTCTGGGGTTACTTCCCTTCTTCTTTTAATGCCACTAGGACCAGCTTCAGAGTCACTGGACTTCTTTCGCACAACATATCTGTCCATAGTGGCCTGTACCTCTCGTTCCTTTATGACTTCCTTAAAGTGTTTCACAACATTGTCAGTGTAATAGTCACCAGCACGGCTTGCAATAGCTGTGTTAGGGTGATTCTCATCCATAAAGGTTTGCACTTTAAGCCACATTGCACACATTTCCTTAATCTTTGTAGTAGGCAACTTCTTCAATTTCTCTCTCCCCTCCTCCGAAGCAGTTTCCTCAGGTCTGGCCTCTTGCTGTTGAAGTTGATCTATCAGCTCATCAGTGGTTAGTTCTTCATTGTCCTCCTCCACCAGCTCTTCCACATCCTCCCCACTAACCTCCAACCCCAAGGACTTCCCCAATGCCACAATGGATTCCTCAACTGGCATAGGATTCTCAGGGTTAGCCTCAAATCCTTCAAAATCCCTTTTGTCTACACATTCTGGCCACAGTTTTTTCCAAGCAGAGTTCAAGGTCCTCTTAGTCACTTCCTCCCAAGCCTTACCTATAATGTTTACACAATTAAGGATATTAAAATGATCTCTCCAAAACTCTCTTAGAGTCAGTTGAGTTTCTGAGGTCACTACAAAGCACCTTTCAAACATAGCTTTTGTGTACAGTTTCTTGAAGTTTGCAATAACCTGCTGCTCCATGGGCTGCAGGAGAGGAGTGGTATTAGGAGGCAAAAACTTGACCTTAATGAAGCTCATGTCCCCAGAAAGTCTCTCTGCCAAGTCTGAAGGATGACCAGGAGCATTGTCTAATACCAGGAGGCACTTAAGGTCTAATTTATTTTCAGTTAGGTAATTTTTCA